AATTGGGGACTGGGGCGGGGAATGTGGTGGTAGAGAAAGTGGAAAGCAAGGAGGAGTCAGCAGTAGCATGTTTTCACTCATCCATCTAGCTGCATGCAGCAGATAAAACGACTGTTTTCACTCCCCCTGCTAATGCGCGATGGCCGATTTAACATGAGCTTTTGATTTGGTTGTCATGTTTATAGTTGAACTGATAGACTCCATCGCGATGAGGCTAGACCTTAACGTACTGCAATGCTTTGTGTACCTCAGTGACCCACTGGGCTATGTCGGGTGGTTCTTTTTGCACTTTTGGAGCCATTCATACCAGATTGATCAATCGTTAGAGGCCGGACCAATTCAGTCTCTTGGTCCTCCAGGCTGGGGGTTGGAGTGAAAGCGGCTCCTTACTCTATAAAACGGACTCTTTGTAGCTTCTGTGCCGAAACCCCGCCGCCTTGCGGTCGGGTTTTTGAACCAAAGGCATTGGTTGAGAATCCTAATCGTTCTCATGTCTAGGCCTAAGCAATCTGACGGTATCCTGCCTTTGCAATAAAATGTATCTTTCCTCAAACTTTCTTAATGCTCTGGCTGTTGCAGAGAATAATCAACTGCTCCCTATCTGCTGCACCGAGCAGGGAGGATAAGTGTGAGGATGCTACTGCTAAAGCCTTTAAAATGTTTCGAAATACTGGTAGCTTGGGTTGACGATTCAATTGTACTCCGAGATTGGCAGTTTGGTTGCAAACATTTCACAACCATGCGTGGTGGCATCGTCTGTGCAATGTGATGCAGCGCGCGATCTTGCTGATTGAATGGTTGATCCGTGATCGACATGCAGGTGTCTTTTAAAAGTGGCAGCTCGATTTGCGTCTTGTCATATTTACCCATTTTCCCCACGACTGAACTCGGCGCTCTAAGCCGCGCGATCGATGTTCCTTGTTTCTTACTCTCGGAGTGGCTGGTGTACTGAATCGATGTCGATACAAAGTTGATTGAGTTATTCGTGGAGAACCACAAAGACGGAGAACGTCACTTCATCCGTTTCTCTTTGGAGCCCCCGATTCGTGCTAAGATTTATGTGCCACGACGTGCGCAATTTATTGCAGCTTGGCCAACAGACAGCACTTGACCGAACACTAAGGACCCTATCATTCGATATTTGCTGCTTATCAGAAATTCGCCTGCAAGATTCGCGTTCCATTATTATTCTACAATCCCCACAAGCGACGCTGGCGACACTTTCTCATTACATTCGTCTGGAGATAACGTAGCTTCAACTACTAGTCAGGCCGGTGTGGGCATTGCTTTGAGCCCCTATCCTATCTTTTTATATTGCGGCAGGAAGAAAACGAAGAACATCAGCAGCACGCCGATACGCAGTACCGACACTTCGCTGCCGCGCCACTACTACCGATCTCACGTGGGTTAAGGATACTGCGAGGGTCACCCTGTCCCTACGCAGGCTTGAACCCGCACCCTCAGATTATAAAGCAGACCTGTGCTGCTTAAGGCTACAGGCCAGCAGAGAAAGAAAGTAAGGCATAGGCAGTGGGGCAGCACACTTTGCCAACGCTTCGCTTCCATGTGGGCTGAGTTTACCGCGAGGTCACCAGCATCCACGCGCATTCGGACCGGTGACATCTGATTACATGGCAGGAGTCTAATCCTTCCGGCCACCGGCACGATAGTTGAATTGTGTTTCTCACCTTTAGCTAATGTGTAACAGTACTAATGGACTGATATACTGCCAGGGCATCCACATTTAACAAGGCGAACGACTCGGGCTCGTAGTCAAGGCTTTCAATAAAGTTTACTCCCAAAAGCAGCGTACTGTGAGTCATTAAACCGACTCACGCCAATGTGTCTTGTTTCTTAGCTAGAAGTATGGTCCCCAATAGGAGGCGTGCAGGAAATATGGTTATGGGAGATTTGGAGCAGCAGTGAGTCACTTATCTAAAATTCCCAATGAGCTTCTCTCGTCTTTGGACTCTATAAAGCAATAGGGAAATGCCAAACTAACTGCCACTGCTATGCTGTCTGACATGCTCAAATGTGTTGTGTGATCATTGTTCACGTGTCTGTTTTATTACTGTCAGCTCCAAATTGTTTACCTGCTTCGCACCTTTGTGGTTCATTCGTCCTTGAGTTAATAAAATCCAGAAAGCCATCCTAGATTCATCCACGACAGTGAGTGTGACCACCTCTTACAATTTAAACGGTACTTCAACGACACATCATGTGCAGACCGCATACCCTAATCATTTCCATTGACTCTCGGCTCACGTCCGGTTCAGTCGGTGCCGGTTTGCACAACTGTCACTGAGACTGCAGAGACGACTACAATAGCAAGATTTGTGTACAGTTGCCCCACTAATAACCAACTAGAGTGGTCTTACTAGTGAAAAATGGTGGTATGTAGGATCTGAAGTGAGACCGAAATCTTCTACTTGAACATTCAAGATCCGGGCACCTGCGCCTTGCCAAAAACACCCAATCATCAACAAACAGATGGCTCTCACATGCGGCAGCTTGAAAATAGCTGGGGACTTTCACTGCCCCACCTCCTAATCAGCCTGATTCAATCGATAACTCATTAGCACACACCTGAAACAAGCAGTGCGGTTGTGAGACGGGGCATACCTACCTTCATTACTTTTTGCTAGCGGCCACTTGGGTCGGACTGCGAGCTGGATGGTGAGACAGACCACCAACATCTAGTGTGGTCGTTAGTGGTTTTACTTTTTTCTACCATGTCATTCATTTATCGTCTTTAACCTTAGACCGTTTTACATTCAGGAGACAAACAAGACTTATTAAATCGGTACTCGAGTGCACGTTTTACATGCTCAAACTAACACAACTTTCATTTTATTCTGAAATTTCCGTGCCACCACTTTTGTCGCTGGTTTTGGCTTCCAAAGAGGATATGGTTTTGAAACGTATGAATTTGGCCAGGTTTTCCTGTCTCTCGAAGCGGTTTTGAATGAAACCTTCATTTCGGTTCCTCATCTTAAAACCTCTATCGAGTGGCTGACTGATAAACATAGATCATAAGAAATAGATATTGCTATGATGACCCCGCTCAGACCTTACGCAAGTACTGCTGTGTAGGCTAATACAATGACTACATCCTATAACACGTGTTTAACCACTTTAAACCGACAGGTACTGTTGGACGACTCAACTGACTCCTTTCTGCTCCTTACTGTCGGCGAACGGCTGGTAGAAATCTGTCGGCTAGCTTGTGATAATGGCCACTTGACATCCTGTAGTCAAATTACAGAAGGGTTTGCTGCGCGTATTTCTAGATCCAGCTGGCTTATTATGGCCTTAGTGATCTACGGAGACAAGAAGTCACCGTTCAATTGGTCATGAATATGGTGCGCACCGCTGCGGCGCGCTGGTGCTGGTCATGTTTGATCACCGAGACCATTCTGCGCATATTACTGAGGTTCACCAGTTTGTATTCCATTCCGAATTCGTGGTAACCGCACTTTGGCCATCCACATTCACTTGGTCATGAATTTTATATATTTATCGGTCGAAAGCATATGTGTGCACTGTTTGCCACAGCCTTGCCCATTTGCGCAAAGCAACGTAGTAAAATGTATGGTAAACCTAACCAGTCCGATTAGCAGATCTTGCTGTTTATGAGGGAAAGAACTTCTGAATCAGCATTGCTCATATTTGGAGAAAGCACGAAGTATACTTGATAGTGCCTGACAATAGGTTTCGTTTTTAGCCCTATACCGTCTTTATCCCATAAGGTGAAGTGTTGTCTCCGACTTAGTTTATCCAAGTCGCGCCGCGTCATGTGTTTAACTGGACAAATGCCCATGTTGGACACTCGGTAAACTGGAATAACCTGAAACACTGACGCAAGCATCTGGTCCGGCTGTTTCATTGCTTCTGGCTGCGTGGGACTCGGGATCAGCTGCATCAAGGTATATCTATATTAATCGATAGACTTAATTTCTAAAGCAGATGGGTTCTTACATTCAATTCTTTCCTGCTTGTTCTTAGCCAGCCATCCCAGTTCTAATCCTTCTTTTGCCCAAGGGAATTTGTGGTTACTGTGCACATTCATTTGGCTACTGCACATCCTCGTAACCTTCGACTGCTGTTGTCCTCGAAACTCCCGAACTTGGAAGTAGCAACTCTAGGCAGCAGCAATTTATGTGGCTTAGTTGCTTGTGGCACGGCGTTGCTTACTACTTTTCACTATTATTATGATTGCGATAATGAAGGTAGCTGGGCTCACCATACGTCGTTACCTTGGTTACGGTACATTAACTGCTACCGACTTGCTGTTGTTGAGCCTTGCGGTTAGACTCTGTTTACCAAACCTATACCGTTCAAATGTCTGTTCTGCACACAGAGAAACGAACCGCGACAATGGTCAGCGGATAAATAGTACATGAGAACAGTCAGCTGATCATCATGACAGGGAGTATATAACGTTGGATAAGTTTATACTCGTCAACACAGAGAAATGAGTGACTCGGGGCATTAAGCAGGTAACAGGTTCTTCCTTTCTTGGTCGGGCCAAGCATTGATCTCTAGTTTTTTCCACTACAGTCGAATGACCATGTACACGTTTGTCTACATGGTCAATACTACTACTAGTAATAATAGTAATAATGTGTCAGCTGTACGCCTTACCGGCGCTTCGCTGCCATGCGACCAACACCAGTCGCACGCGGGCTGAGTATACCGCGAGGACGCCCACCCGCCGCGAGCTTATGAGACAAGCTCGTTACCTCTATGCTACGGGCCAATTGTGCTTTTCCAGTTTCCATCACCCAGCGGATCACCTCGCCTCAAACTCCCCACACTGTTCATATCCACCAGAGAATTACAGCACACCGTAATTCAGTCTACCAAGGCTATCGTATGGTTAATATCACTCGAAACAATCTTGTTTCGCTTCCGTTGTCATCTTCGGACGTCACTAACTACTACCGACAACAAAGAACTGAGATTTCCTCATGTCTTCCAACCTCCGTTTTTTTTTCTAGCGGAAACTTGAGGGCCACGTCGGTGAGGTCTATTCCTGTCGTTTCTTCCCCTCTGGCCTCACTGCTCTTACTGCGGGAGCTGATATGCAGTTGAAAATTTGGTGTCTTCTCACTGGCACATGTGCCGCTACCTTGGCACCAGGCATTGCCGGAGCGGTTACGGGTACTAGCTCATTGGGGAAATCGGAGCCAGGAGGTCACCGGTCTGGCATACTGGACACTGGGATCATTTATCGCGGTCGCAATGTCATTTCCATAGATCGTCTGGGGTGGATGCGTTTATGGGATGTTACTACACAGGTAGGTACTAAACCACATTTCCTATTTGAATGCCTGGGAGATTTACTCTCCGACATTTGTGTTGGAAGTGGTTGGAAGACTGCGTTACACTGTTTGTTGTTTGTTGTTTTTCCGAATGCACATCTCTCACTCTTTCACCTATTGCTATCAAAAATGCTTCAGCTAAAAATATCCTCTTTTACCTAGTCACTTCGGCCTCTTCAGTTCAATTCCACAATCCATAATTCAGTGGACCCACCCACCATCTATAGAACGAACCGTTCATTCTAACGCCTATTGATTCATTTGTCGATGCAATATACAAGACGGGCAGTCGCATCGAATGCTAAGCACTGGGATGTTTGCTTAATGTCAGCGATGACAAACTTACTAGCCTCTATTCTCGTTCCCTCGCCTTACTGCGGTACGGGAATCCCGGATCAGGGAAGAGCAGTCAGATTTCTACCCAGGACATGACTGTATACACTATATATTCACTTTATGGCAGGTGCTAGAGCAGCGCCCCGCATACCGCAGATGGACAATAGCTGTATTCCTCGACTTCAAGAATGCATCCGGCTCAATTGATCCATTCATTCTTTTCGAGATACTTGCGCGGAAAGGTGATCCCATAAAATATGTGAACATTTTGCGTGCTCTATGCTCGAACACGACAGGCCTCATCAAAGTCTACGGTGACTTGTTTAGGTTCCAGTCACGCCATTCCTTGTGACCTTAGTTGTTGTGGAGTTCTCCGAGCTGGGCAACTTGGTTGCAAACGTTTCACCACCATTCGAGGTGGCATCTTCAGTGCGGGATTGATAGCAGTAAAGTAGCAGTAGCTGGTAGAAAGCAAACCCAATAATGGATGCTGTCAGCAGCTACTCCGTTCCTTATATAGGCATACGGGGCTATTAATTTTGTCTCGTTCTCATTGGTGAATCCTTGTGTTCAGCGGTTGTGCTCGAGTCATTGTCATTGGCTGCGGCAATGTTGTTGCGACGTGGTTGGGAATATCGCACCCGGATTGGTGCAACGGGTGTGGGTGAGTAGTCTGTGCTCATATTGACCATGCTGTTCATTGTCCGTGTGTTGGATTAGGTTCTTTTTGACAACGGTTTTTGAGCCGCTTGAACTCTCTCTGTCTCAGCGGTTGATATATTGGATCGAGGTCGATATGCATGTTGATTGAGTTCGTGGTTGAGAACCAGGCTTCGAGAAACTCCCTCCCTTTTTGTGTTTCTCCTTCGGTCAAGATCTCTACTTTGTTCCAGTCGAAGCTGTGTCCCTCTTCATCCACATGTGCTGAAACCAATGAGTTTGCGTAATGGTTCTTGCACGCTCTTTGGATACATGAACACCAAAGAGCGTGCAAGAACCATTACGCAAACTCATTGGTTTCAGCACATGTGGATGAAGAGGGACACAGCTTCGACTGGAACAAAGTAGAGATCTTGACCGAAGGAGAAACACAAAAAGGGAGGGAGTTTCTCGAAGCCTGGTTCTCAACCACGAACTCAATCAACATGCATATCGACCTCGATCCAATATATCAACCGCTGAGACAGAGAGAGTTCAAGCGGCTCAAAAACCGTTGTCAAAAAGAACCTAATCCAACACACGGACAATGAACAGCATGGTCAATATGAGCACAGACTACTCACCCACACCCGTTGCACCAATCCGGGTGCGATATTCCCAACCACGTCGCAACAACATTGCCGCAGCCAATGACAATGACTCGAGCACAACCGCTGAACACAAGGATTCACCAATGAGAACGAGACAAAATTAATAGCCCCGTATGCCTATATAAGGAACGGAGTAGCTGCTGACAGCATCCATTATTGGGTTTGCTTTCTACCAGCTACTGCTACTTTACTGCTATCAATCCCGCACTGAAGATGCCACCTCGAATGGTGGTGAAACGTTTGCAACCAAGTTGCCCAGCTCGGAGAACTCCACAACAACTGAGCAAGCCTCCCGAGCTACCAATATTCCAAATCATTCCTTGTGACCTTGTCAGCCAGTGCGCCTGCATAACCCATCACACGGACCGCGCGACCACGCCGACCGCTCATTTGACCTTGCAACCACCACGCTCGCCTGACAGATGTGCGCCGTTCTCAAAGCTGTAAAAATACAGAACACTGAGCAGAAATGCGAAACCGAAGAGGCTCCAAGCGAAAGACATTTGCGGATTAGGAGAATGTCATTGAGTAGTAAAAATCGGTCTGGCTTGCTCGCACTGTTTGGAATGGTATCATATGAAATGTGCAAATGTGTCCCAACAACAGTTACGGGAGCGAAATAGCTCCCAAGATTCCTTTTTGTTCTGTACTGCGTGTTCCACCATCCCCCTCGTTAAGTGCTTGCTTATCCTAGCTCAGAAATGCGACCGGTTAAATCATAGAAGCAGAGCAGAGGATAAACGATAAGATTATTTCAGTGGAAGCGAGTATGGACCACAGAAGCGTAGCGGTTGCTAAACAACGGAATGCTGAACAATCCGCTTCCTCTGAACCGCAGTCAGCCCCGTCTCCATGTCTTTTGTCTTCTCCAACTTTGGTAGAACGCCGGGCGAAAACAGACTGTACCTACGTGAATCAAACATACTCACGGCAACGAAAATCAGGCATCATTCAAAACGTCTGACATTTACTATCCACCAATATTTGCCTAACAGTAGCACAGTTCGACACTAACACCCACTATGCCATAAGCCGTCTTACTACACAAAGTAAACGTGTTCCCTACGGCTCTAAGAATGCAAAAAAAGGCCTACCCACGCAGAAGAGGCGAAATTTGCTGGCAAGATTTCACAGGACCGGAGACTTTTCGACAATATTGCGAGCGCATGAATGGACCACTAGGATCAAACATGCGCAGTAATGCGCCTCAAAAGCGAGGAAGAAAATGCTCTACTAACGGGTAACGAACCAAAGAATATCGTCACTATTCTTCGTCATAGAACCGGCAACAGCTCTTGCTCTCTCACCAGACTCTTGGATGAACATAGTAAATCTTTGAGAACCCACTTGCCATTTGTGAGGCGTTTAGCGCCTACTTTGTTGCCTCAATGATTCTTGAGTCCGACCCCATACCTGAATGCCCTCAATCCGCTACAACCAAAAGTCTAAGTAGTGTCGAAACTTCTCTCAGCACTATTCAGCGACTAATGAAAACCTTCAAACCTTTATCTCAGATTGAACTCCGACGGCATACATACAACTGCGATTAAAATAGGAGGGCCTGATTTACCATTACTGTCGTTGAACATGTTCACTTTATCGCTGCAAGCTAGCAATTCTCCTGACCACTGGAAAACCTCATTCGTTATCCCACACCATAGAAGTGGTCCCAAGTAAAGTTACCAATCACCGATCGATTAATCTTACCCCACTTTATCACCATTCTGTTTGAAAGATTAGTCTATAAAATGTTGATGGAGCTCTTTAATTCCCTGAACCTATGTAACACATCTCAACATGGTTTCCTTGATAGACGTTCATGCACGACCTGCCAGCTACACTCCGTTAACTACATTTCAGAATCCATAAACCGGTTATGCAATAACAATTTTGTTTGTGGACCTAGAAAAAGCATTTGACCTTGTACCACACAAACGGTTGTTGAGAAAAGTCGAACCCTTTGGAATCCAGAACCTGCTTTTAAGTTGGCTTTCCTACCTTAACAATCGGTCTCAAGTAGTCACTTTGGGTGATCACCACTCTTCTTCTCGTCCAATAACCAGCGGCATCATCCAAGGAACCGTACTTGGCCCTACGGTTTTTCTCCCCTACATCAATGTCATTGGAATACCCATCAAAAATAGCCAACTCTTTCTTTTTACTGATGATATCAAAAGTTTTTATAAACTCCGATGTCATGCGCTTTAGATCACACTAATTTTAAATCAAGAAGATCTTCATTCTCCTAAATAATGGTCCCAGACGTGGTTGATAAAATTCTCCACCGACAGATCAAACATTATGCCATGTGGTTGCTCGATCCCCAATGGGTCAATTAAAGGAAACAACAAAAATATGTCCATACGGCAGTCTACGCGTGATCTACGAATCCGCTACTCTTTTCACCTCTGTTTTTTTGAAAAAGCCCAATACCAAATAGCTCGGGTTAAACAATCCGTGGCTAACATATGCCACAAAATCCATACAGTCCCTGCAAGAATGGTATTATTTAAAATTCGCACTCGTCCTATTCTCGAATACTGAAACTTCACCTACGGCTGCATGCGGAAGTTAGATAGGAAATCTGTAGAAAATGTGTATAGGTTATACAACAGACGTTTGTTCAATAGCACGTCCACTCTAAACTATTACGAACGTGGCAAACACCATCACATCAAGCCTCCGTCTGCGACGCCTAACGCAAAACTTGATGCTCCTCCACAATCTGTTGTATCAGAAAACGTACTCTTACCTGCATAACATGGAGAGAAAACACAATAACCATCTCACGGACAACGTAACAAAAAATTTACGCTGCGGATACTAAGGGATAGAACATAAATGCGGTCCAACTATCTCCACATCAGATACGCCGTCCTGTGAAACTGCCAACCAAGTGCAATCAAAACATGTGAAAACCCCACTTCATTCCACACCAAACACAACAGATTCTTAAAGCTAGAAGTGTTATCATCCGTGTTCTCATCTGACAACTTACCTGATGAACTGTTTCAAAATGGACCAAAAATTATCTAAAGGGCTAACAATTGGCATTAACATGCACTCACCCCAGAGCATAATCATTTTTGTACATACCAATCTGTTGCAACTTTAGGAACGGATTTCCACATTTTGGATATATGGTTGGCGGCATCCGGTTTCGGATTTGCCTGTCACTGTGGCCAGCCACAGAACGCCTGCGCATACAGAGGGACCATGGATGGCTTGCGCTGCACCACCCACAGCTCCAACCACACACCCCATATCCAGTGTAAACCCGAAGGAATAAGACCGGGAGGCATGTGGATGGGAACTACGTTTCATCAACGGAGCCGGCCCACACTCCTTCACAGGCAAACACAAGCACGCTGTATTTGGGAAATCAAGCGCACACAAGGCGGTGGCTGGACCGTAGTCCGCTCCACACTGAGTGCATGGAACCACTCTTCGAGCCTAGTACGGCCAAAAGGACCGTGAACCCGTCCCCTCCAGCAACGACCAACTGTCTCCTGGAGCCAGTATGGACGAGGTAGTGGGTAATAGACAGGTAGGAACCTGGTCAACATGCACATCAAGCGCAGCCACACCGGGGATGTCAAACAACAGCCAATCATTCGAAATGCCGATATCGATTAAAGTAAATGCATATGACGACATAAATACTCGCTAAATGAGCATATAGAAGAAATTGGTTGTAAGTGAATCCGTGATAAGTACAAAATGTCCGAGTAATTTAAAAAAATACCACGCGATATAAATTACGCAAGTTTACCACAATTTGAATGAGCGACGTGTGCAAGTTGGGAGAAGATTATCAAGTACGCAGAACATACCAAATAAAGTGTAACGAAGTTTATCCACATTAAAAAGAAATAGTTTAAGTGTAAGTTGGTTTAGCCCAACAGTGGTGAACAAGCAGCAAGGATGCAACATCAGCCTCACCATAGGGCACAACTTTATATATATACATATATATATGTAAATATATGTAAATATATATATATATATATATATATATATATATATATATATATATTGCATTCGTGCTGCTTGGTCACCACAGTTGGGCTAAACCAACTTACACTTAAACCAGGTCTTTTAAGCTGGATAAATTTTATTCCACATTATTTGGTTTGTTTTGAGTACCTGAATAATGTTCTATTGACTGGCCACGTTGCTTACGCTAATTGCGCATATTTTCCATAACTTGGTTGTGTTTGTAGCCTCTTTACGTAACTTGCGGACATTTTCCTTATCGCGGATTCGTTGCTAACCAACTTACTTCATATGCTTATTTAGCTTAGAGTTATGCCACCGTATCTGTATGCATTATTGGATTTGTTTTATTTCATCTTGTCGTTACAGGTGATTGGCTGTTAGTTGATATCCCTGGTGTGGCTGCGCTTGATGTGTATGTTGACAAGGTGCCTACCTGTCTATTACCCACTTCCTCGTCCATACTGGCTCCAGGAGACAGTTGGTCGTTGTTGGAGGGGACGGGATGCACGGTCCTTGTGGCCGTGCTAGGCTCGAAGAGTGGTTCCATGCACTCAGTGTGGAGCGGACTACGGTCCAGCCACCGCCTTGTGTGCGGTTGATTCCCAAATACAGTGTGCTTGTGTTTGCCTGTGAAGGAGTGTGGGCCGGCTCCGGTGGTGAAACGTGGCTCCCATCTACATGCCTCCCGGTCTCATTTCTTCGGGTTTACACTGGATATGGTGTGTGTGGTTGGAGCTGTGGGTGGTGCAGCGCAAGCCATCCATGGTCCCTCTGTATGCGCAGGCGTCCTGTGGCTGGCCAGAGTGATAGGCAAATCCGAGACCAGGTGCTGCCAACCATATATGAAGTGAATTGCGAATGCATCGGTGGCCAGATGTAATTAGCCTCTAAATGCCTACTGTTCTAACGGTCCCGTTTCGCAACCATAAGCATAGGGTTGAATGAATTGCACGGCAAGTATGAAAAGTGACACGAGCTTTGCTGTAAGGTTAGTAACCTCAAGCTCTGTTCCATAGATGCCGATACAGCGACTTAATTAGCTCAATTTCTGAACGACCTAATTGGCCTCCACCAATAAGTCCGTGCAGGAGATGGCCCCGCCAATCCTGGGGAGGAGCTACGAACTTTGAAGCCGTAAAAGACAGCCCGAAATAATTGTGATAGCCGATGTTAACCTGTCCAGACTAATAGCATAGTCGGCGTACTCCATGTTGAAGAACGCTCGCTCGGAAAAAACCCTACGCTTTCTAAGCCAGATCAAGTGATCGCAAGCAACAACCTAACGGATTCTAAATCATTTCGTTTGCACCGCACGCTTGGTCACGTTTAGTTGGTGATATTATAGAAAGCGGTATATCAGCCACTATCAGTAGCTGAATTCAAATAATGCAGCCTAAATGCGTAGATGTTGAAATGAAATGAAACAGTCCATAAAGTAGATAAAACTGTACATAAACAGCTGAACTGATACATATCGTACGCATAACAATAGCCCGGTTTAGGCGAACCACCCGGCGCTTCAGAAACCGAAAACACCATGAGATAGGAAAATAAAATGTGTGCACTGATCTCAACAAAAAGGCAAAGTTAGCATAAGCAGAAAAAATAGTGGTCAAAATTAAGTCTGAAGTGGTCACAGGTATTTCGTCGGCATCATATTCTGCATTTTCCACAAAATGCATCACCGTGGCTGTTTGCAGCAAATGCATAGAATTTTCAACCAAAGGCCAAATCTGTTGCGAGTTTTTTGTAGTGACGGAAGACCCCACCGAGAGAAGCAGTCCATATGCTCAGGTTGGTTCCACGAAAGAGTGGAAGGCCGACGAGACCACGAACCGGCTCACAGTTAATTCCCGTGAGTTCCAAAGTGGACTGTGAGAACGCAGACGGATCCTCCAGTGTCGTTAATTTGTCCGAATTGCCCACAGACGGGTTGTAGGAGTATACGACCACTCGCCCATCACTTCTGCCGACTAGCAACAACACTTGACTTCCGTTAGGCGAAGCGAACGCTTTGATCTGGTGGACTGCTCCCTTTTCATCTATAATGGAAAGCAGAGGGAACGCAAAACATGTGAAGAAAAGACTAGGGTGTCAATGAACTAGAGCTTTTCACTTCTGTGGGAAGCCAACCGATGTGAAAAAGCGGTAGACTGATTCAATAATTAGTGTGCTAGTTACAGTCCGAACCGGTAATAAAAAGTATCATTGATGAATAAATGGAAGAAAACCCGGAAAAATGCTACGTGAAAAGGGTTTAAAAAACATACTTGTCGTCATATGAAGGGGTTAACAAGCGAATAAGGACTGGAAGCAAAGGCAACACTTGACTCCCGGTTTAATCTGGTAATCACTATCACGGGAGGCGAAGCGCTATGAGTGATCCAGATTCATAGCGAGGTGCTTTACGTCTCTTTGTCATGTGGTCGAGTGGCCCTGAGTGCATAGATGGAAGAACATTGCCTGGAGTAAGCGGTTCGAATCTATCAAATGGTCGGAGAGTTAAGTGTTGCTCGATGCTGCTTCGCCGGGCACGAGCAATGCTCCACAGATACCAGTGTGCTAGGGGACGAGCAACGGCTATGTCACTGATTCACACGCTAACACTCGATGTGCGGATTAGTAGCACGGATGGCAGTTGCAGTTTTCCTCGACGGACTGCAAGTAATGAAGGTCATGTAGCTAGCTCAAACGTGGGATCTGATCGTTTCCCAATCGACAACTCGAAAACTGTCAGCTCACCACGGAAACAGCAAGCAGATAGGCTAATGTGGCAAAGTTCGTACCTGATATTTGCATCAACGGCCGCAGTGGATATCGTAGGTCCCAACCGGCCAGTTCACCGTTTTGACCACCCGCGTACAGTCCATACTCGAGAAAAGCGCATGTTTGGTGCTCTGCGTCGACGTCCATTGCTTCGGAAGAGTTTGGTGGAGGTTGTGTGATCGACTGTGGGAAGGCACATGCTTCGATTGAACCGGTGGCATGCGGCAATGTGAATCGAGCAACACACCCCTTGCTGCGTGCCGCCAATTCGTAAAGCTGTACAGTTGCGCGACAGCCCATGCCGACAGCGACCACGGCATCAGAAGTGGCGACTTCGGTTGCTGTTCGCGACGAGGTTTCGAGTGCTATGGAAACGTATGGAAGCAGTTAAAACGTTGAAAAAAAGGCCGACTGTTAATTGGTGCAACTGATGTGACTCTACATTTAAAAAGTGACCCGTGTAGAATTGCACAAATGTGAGTCAGATAAACGCACATAAACTATAAAATATGCCACAGTCGAGTGACATCGGATTTCACCGAGATATTTTAGGCTGCTAGTCAATGCGCTTATCAAAAAATGACCTTAGCGGTCTTAATTTAGATAGCTGAAACACAGTAACTAAGATAAACAGCGCTTCGCTCCATTACTCCGGTAATAAAGAGTACCCGGTCCGGACAACAAACTGCTGGATAAACCGCCTCAATTTTCCGCTCAATGGACCACGAAGAGATCACTCGATGAGTACGCTGACCGGGACGGTTGGGCGAGTACAAAGCAGCCGAGTGACTAACCGTGTGTTAGGCCGCAAATAGAAAATGGCCGACTGCATGCGAATCCAAAGGAGACTCACCGTGGAACCAGGAGGAATTGTCCTCTGCTACATCCTGTATGTGTAATGGCAGTGTATGTTGCTTTTTGACGCACAAGCAGCAAGCCTCTTCCAGAACAGGACAAACATATTTTGCAGGACTAGTTGCTCGTGGTACCAGAGGGATCCCGCTAATGCATACCTGAAACGACACATGCAGCACGAATGCGTTACGATCAAGAATACACGTCAAAATGTTGTGCACCATCGCGAGAAATAGGAAGTCGCTGACAAAGTTCCCAGATTGAACCGATTTGTGCGGAGAGCCGCTGAGCCAAGACCAACGCACCAAATCCTACGGTTGCATTTTTTCAGGAGCAAGACAGTGACAACAAAGAGCTTTAACGAAGCAGGCAATCACGCGCAAACGGATCTCATAAAAGATAAATTCTGAATTAATTTACCTATAACTTTTCGGTTAGATTTTTATCATAAGGTGGTTTTTGGTTAGTAATAAACATACAAAGAAAGAAAGGAAATTTTGTAAACATTTTCATGTTTATTTCTAAGTTATTACAGGAACGTAGGTTATCGACATTGTCACCATGAGGGTACATTACTGAAAATGATATTCGTGAATACAGTTCTTTTTGATATTGCAGCACAAAAGAGATTACAAAAAGAACAGTGAGTGGTCTAGACTGGATTTTTTGGATGGAACACATTTTATGTCTTCCCCTTTCTGCAACGAAGAATAAATCTCTAAATTTTGCGCCTCACGTCATCGCTATGCCCAGTAAAGGCTCTAACTGTTCTTACTACGTTTGAGGCCTGGCGGTACTTTCTGGTACCAACATAGACGTTGGATCAGTTTAATACGGAGTACGCTTAAAATTGTAAAACAAATATACCGAATCATGACATATCCACTACAAAACGACTAAAAATAAATAGCACTGGCGAGTTGCAACAAAACCAATTAAATTGTAACAAATAGAGCAACCATTTACAGTTTTCCGAAACTAATTTCTAATCACGCTCGGTATGAACCACAAAAGTTTACTTCATACACTCTAAAGCAAAGTATCGAACTTGTGGTCCTTATCTAATTGTGGACAGAAGGCTACTGTACGTATCCACGGCAGTACCGACAGGAATAACGCTTGCATTTAAGCAATATTGCAATTTAAACAAAGTGGTACTTATAAGTACCACCAGGACATAAAGGGTTAAATAAACAAACAAACGTTACGACAACATAGAACCGCCTAGCAGAAATGTTGGCTACGCCAATCTATTCAAGATTCGGTATACACCTCCGGAAGAGATCAGCATTAATGACAAGCAACGGTGTTTTGAAGGAGCAAATTATGAAACAAAACCTCTAAGCATAATGAAATTTTTCGTGAAAACGTGGTTTAGGAATGCAAAAAAATTCTCATTACGAAAAAAGTTCTGAAAACGAAGTTGCCACTCGTACTAGCCACAAGATAGTACAAAAATGGCAGAGGAAAACCGTTGACTGATGGCAACTTAATCCGAGTGTAAAATGGAAGCTGTGAAGGCTGTGTATCCTGAGAAAACCGATTTGTTTGCAAGTGGGAGCCTTTTGACAAGTTCAGTTGTGGGGGGAACAAAATAACTTGGAGAGAACATAGTGCTACAGATAGACGGGAAACCTGAAAACGTTTTGTGGTATTCTCTGGCGCTGAATGAGTCTGATGATCTCTCGAGTACGTCACAACATCTCGTGTTCATACGCGATGTCAATTCGGAGTTTCAGATAACAGAAGAGTTGGCATCGGTCGGCAGATTGCACGGAACGACAACTAGAAAACACATATTCGTGGAACTATACAAAATTTTCCACGACTAAAACTATCTGTGGAATCGGCTTCGAAGTGTCAAAAGTAATGCAGGGAGAAACATAGCTTGACAGATCTGGAATCGGTTGGAATATTTGCAATTTCGGGTCGCTCTGATCATACAGTGTATCCTGTATACTACTGTACCCTACGCGCATTCCGTCAGAAAAACTTGAATATTTCTTGTGTACTGAAGCTCTTCGTTTGAATGGTTAACTTCATTCGGGACATGCTCTCAATCACCGTCAAATTCCAGTCTTCTCGGGAAGATATTTATTCTGAATGATGTGATTTCCCATACAACACAGCAGTGAGTTGGCTCAGTTGCGGTTAAGTGCAATTTGGTTTTTACAAGCTCCGAAACGAAATGGCTGCCTTCCTCACTGAAAACGATAGAGATGACCCACAGCAGTCAGATTGTACCTGGCTACTAAAGTTCGCATGAATTGAGCTTGAAACTGCAAGGATAGGAGGAGCTCATCTGTGATTACAACTGAAGCATCATTGTTTTAATCACAGTTTTGAAGAGTTACGATCACCGAAGTTGTCTCTCTTGGTTTCCCGAGAAGAGGCATTTTTTTTAGAGATTTTGAAGTCTTGACAGAATCAGTTTGGTTGCAGCCTTGATGTTCCAGCTGAACTAAAAATGGAGCTAACTGATTTGCAGGCACATAATGAAACGGAAGCACAGATGAGGAAAGCTTTGTGGATTTTACCGTTATTTACCTGAGGCAAAATTTTCGGGGCTGAAGAAGTTTGCCACTGGTATGGGATCAGCGTTTGGAACAATTTATATATGTGAGCAAACCTTATCAAAAATGAAGTATGTGGTGTTAAATTATCTAACAGGACTAACTGATAAATATTTGAAAGCAATTATCTTGAGTGGATAAGACTAGGCAGACCCAAATATTGATGACATTTAGCAAGTCAAACTTAGGGTGCACAAAGCGCACAAATCATTTTGCTGTTTATTTTGTGTCGTCCGGATGTATGCACCAAAGGTCTGAGAGAACTGTATTTTGGAGTATGTCGTTGATAATTAGTGTAAGTAATCAGTGTAAGTATGTCAACTTTGTTTTGCTTATTCGTACATTACACTCCGCTCATCCATCTTTATCATGAAATGTTGAACTACTCTTATTCGTATTTTGTTCAGAGATTGGGTTTTGGTCTGCGAGTATTGTACAGAAATCTTATCAGGCCCGCGGCCGTCATTTTGATGGTAATCCGGCCCGGTGTGAAAAAAGTTTGGTGATCCCTGTACTAAACAGACTGACCTCATTCTACACTATAGTAGTTCCGTAGCGCTCGTTCTATTCCTGTGATCAACCAATCCCCAGATTTTTATAAACACCTTGTGCACAACGGGGCCAACTCTTTGTATTCCAGTCGCTCAGAACCCCAGCTTGTTGGATCTCGGATAGAAGTGTTGTCGTAGCAATTGCTTTAGGTTGGATGCGTCATTGTTGAGACACATCTTGTTGACGCTCACAAATTTGTTAGTAAACAGTACCGTGATCCAGTTCCGGCTTTGCAGTGAATCTGATCCCAGTGGAAACGCGTCACATTAAACTTCCAAGCGAATTCTGTTGTTTACAATGTATGCTCATTTATGGAACAAGCTGCCGTTACAAGTGCGGGTAAATGAGCCCAGGCAAATTTAAAACGACTTTGAGGACTTTTCTCACCACGCACAATGTAACGGAAACTGTTTTATATATTTATCTCATTATCGGCGCTGATTAGACGATACCAAATGTATACATCTGACGAAGTTCGTCTTCTCATTGTGCAGTCCAAAATACTCAGGGGAACTAAGTTTAAAAGGCAAACATTCGGTTTTCGAAACATGCAGATGTGTTAATAACAAACAATATGTGACAGATGATGCAGCTCAGCCTCGTTTTAGCATTTATTCTGTTCTATTCGGAAGTGCCAAACTTGAAGCCACAATTGCAGGTGAAAAAATCAACTGTTGGGGAAGCGACCATAATATTGGAATCAGTCTGATCTCAACTGCCTCTAAGTCACTTGTCTACGTCGCTCTCCAGAGACTGATTGACATCCGTGAAAGCCAGATTGGTAAGGAACAAGCCGGATTTCATCGAGATCGATACAGTATTACGCAAATTTTCGATTCACCATCGCATTTGTTGGCGACGTATTTCTCGACATCAAAGATGTCTTGATTGGGTGGACTGATATGTCACTTGGGACCGCCTACTCAGGAAAGATGTGCCCAATGAATATATAACATTATCAAAGCGCCGGACACGCATAGTTAGAGCACATTAAGTGCTTACGACAAGCTGTAGTCGCCCTTCAATATCTCCAGCGGTGTGAGACAAGAATGTCTGTTGTCACATTTCCTATTAACTTCGCCAATGATGAAGTCATTGGAACAGCGTTCACTGGACACGACACGTAGTGAGGAGTTGCTAACTGGCGACCGACTTCTTGGCTTGTAGTATAACGACGATAATGTCCTTATCTGCGACAGCTCCCAAAACGTGCAGATTAGTACTGGATGGATTAGCACTGACTGTCATTCACTTTGGGCCATACTTTGCACACGCCAAGATTGGTAAGGACCAACTTATGCGCTGACTCTTGGTGGTGATCAGTCAGAAGTCGTCCAGAAATTCAAGTATCTAGGCAGCTATGGCAACACCAGCGGAATAGAAGATGAGATCACGAATCGTATAGCAAAAGCTCGTAGTGATTTTGCCAATCCCCCACCAGTGGCGCTGGCGTGGCATCATTCTCGCCCTGAAGGGCAGAGTTTACAATGCAGCCGTCCGTTCAACCCTCATGTACGGTTGTGAAACCTGGCCCATCAAGTCGACAGACATAAAGAGGCTAGTTCCGTCAGGCCATCGTTGCCTCCGCAGCTTAGCTCAGGTCTGGTGGGAACATTACGTGAGCATTGGCTGTGTATGGCGCATAGTATTTGGTGCAGGAAGAGCGGGTGAACCGCCCACCATCATTATGTCACGCACCAGGCTTTGGTGGCTGGACCATCAGTTATGCATGCCAGCACACCGACTCCTGCAACGTGCGTCGTCTGCTCGTTGGGGACGCGGATGGAACAACAGGAGGAGAGGCCAAGTGATGACTTGATCAGGAGGCCCTGACCTTGAAGTTGGTGTCGGTTGCTGTCTGTCGAGTCCCGAGCTGAGGTCCGAAGGACGCTGAAGACTTTTTGACAAAGAGCCGGCCTCAGTAACATTTGTGTTGTAACTTTTTTTGTCCCTTTTCTTCCAGACTAGCTTCTCCCTTCGACAACGACCTAATACCCTATGCATAATTATGACATTTAGCACTGTATTATGTGTTTTTAGTTTTTGCAGTCTGTAATCTTTTCCAACGCGGTAATTTAGTCGAGGTGCGTTACTTACCTCCAGTCAACGTGTACTGGTAATACTGATGATGCATCTTTTATTTCTCACCTATTCCGTACGCATTCGAAATTCTCTCGGAGATGCCAACCTGACAGTTTGCACTACCAAATGCGTTCTGAAGGAGGAAGCTAATCGAATCACTGTATCTTTTCGTCACATTATCATTACTATTTTAAGTACCCGGCGATGCCAACATTACAGCTCAAGCTAAAATAATTCTAAGGTAACACAAAGCGTATATGGCTTACCTCTCACTCACTCTGCAACACATTTTA